TTGGCAAAGGGCATCTCAGGAACCGCACTCCAGTGGTTTGAGTCTTACCTCTCAGATAGGTCCTTCAAGGTATCATGGAGAGGTGAGGTGTCGCAACATCTAACTACTGGGGTGCCTCAGAGCTCAGTTCTTGGACCACTTCTCTTCTCTGTCTACATGGCATCACTAGGCTTTGTCATTCAGAAACATAGCTTTTCATATCACTGCTATGCTGATTGTAGATCATTCTGATAAATGATCTGTTCAGAAATACAATGTATTTGTGTATTCTAATGTGTTGCACTTTAAATGTGTTGGACTCTTTAAGAACATGCTCCCCTCATTGGGTATATATACGAGGAACACATGAGCGCTGTGTTAATGTCGTGTTTGTGACACGAGCTCTGTTAATAAAATTCCACGTTCACATGTGGCTGTCTGTCACCGTGTTAATTCTTGGGACATAGCCTACAACATGGTGTCTGAAGACGGCACGGACTTTTCGCCTGCGAGTGAACCATTTTTGTAGAAAACAGAGACCGCTCGTAAAAGTTTTTCTCAAGGCCGCATAATGAGTGACTATGGCGGATTGTTTTCGGAGACCTGACCTGACCTGTCCCTTCTCATTTGAAGGGAATGTTGCCGACAACTGGCGAATCTTCAAGCAGGAGTATGACATTTTCATCGCGGCAGCACACCACGATAAGCCTGCCAAGACAAGGGCCTATATCCTCCTTAATCTCACAGGGCCGGAGGCCATAGAATGAGAGCGTTCGTCTACGCACCGGGTGAGAATGGCGCTGTTTTAACTCCTGCTGAAGATAAGCCTGCCAAGACAAGGGCCTATATCCTCCTCAATCTCGCAGGGCCGGAGGCCATAGAACAAGAGCATTCGTTTGTCTACGCAGCGGATGTGCGTGCACCGGGTGAGAATGGTGCTGTTTTAACTCCCGCTGAATCAAGAGAGGATCCCGAATGCCTGAAAAGGAAGTTTCGTGAAATTTGCAACCCACAACAAAACAAAACCATGGAAAGACACAAGTTTCACTCCAGAAACCGGAAACAAGGTGAGACTATTGAGTCATTTATCAGTGATCTCAGGATTAAAGCAAAAGCATGCCATTTCGGAGAATTGACAGACGAGCTAATCTGTGACAGGATAGTATGCGGCATCAGCAGTGAAAGCTTAAGGAAAGCACTGTTAAGCACTGTAAAAATAATAAAAAAAGACGCCCACTTACGTGGATGCAGTACATCCAATTTCCACCAGTACACAAGACAAAAGCCCAAAACAGAACAGAATGATTCACCCACCATAACGAATTGCAAAAACGGTCGAAACAATCATGTGGCAAAGAAAGAAAAATGCCCGGCTTTTGGACAGCTGTGCCACAACTGCAAGAAAATTAATCATTAAAAAAAAAATTGCAGATTGCGTTGTCAGTTTGGACCAAAGCAAACTACAAAAAGACGGTACATGAACTTGAAATGGACAAGCCCCCTGTATATGATGACACTTTCTATGTTGATGGCATTGAATTTGATAGGTGTGTTGACACTGTTAACTCTTTCATGGCTGAGAAGGAAGAGGGATTTGTCACTTTGCACATAAACAAAACTCCAATTAAGGTGAAAGTCGACACTGGGGCAAAGTGTAACGTAATGTCGCAAACAACATTCAAGCGAATTGCCAACAATGTACAACCAGTGGAGCAAGAAAGCACGCCTATCCTTGTGGCTTATGGTGGGGGTAGAATTGAAACAAAAGGTTTAGTTACACTGCTGTGTAGTTTAAAAGGACAAAGTCACTCACTCCCATTTTTCTTGGTGGATTAAGATGTCCAACCACTGTTAGGATTTAATGCATGTTTAGACATGGGGATTTGTCACGATGAGCCCACATGTTCATCTGGACAGTATGGAGAGCAGTACTGAACAAATCCTCAAAGAATACAAAGACTTGTTCACTGATGAACTTTGAGAACTTCCAATCACATACTTCACGAGTCTAGTACACCATACACCAGTCTCGGAACCAACAGACTGGGTTTCGTCCATGGTTTTGACATAAAAAGGACAGACAAGAAATCAGACTCTACATAAATTAAAGATCTCAACACTGCCTTAAAGAGACCCCATCACCCAATGCGCAGCGTAAAGGAAGTAGCATCCCAGATGTCAGGGGCAACTGTATTTTCTGTCCTGGATGCAAAGAACTCTTTCTGTCCTCTATAGGGGTGTAACGGTACACAAATATGACGGTTCGGTGCGTACCTCGGTTTTAACGTCACGGTTCGGGATGATTTCGGTACAGCCGGGGGAAAAACTTTTTTTTTTTTAAATGGTTTACTGAACAAGTTGCTCTTTCTTTAAATACATTCAGTTATAGTTTAAATGTTCTTAGTGATAAAAATCTACCTCAGCTTATGCTTAAAACTATAGGGAGCCCTTTTACATTATAAGGTTACAATTAGGCCTAACAACTTAACCCAAACTTAAATTTAATTACTATTTATTTTTAAATAGATGATCAACACTCAACTTTAAAAAATAAAAAAATAAATAATTGTATGCAAACATGTAAACTGCACATAATGCAGTTTTTAAATTAATTTATAAATAATACAATTTCTAAGCTATTTGTTAAAATATATTCAATTACACAATGGCTGTCATAGCATGTTTCATAACAGATTAATTTAAACATACTGTACATTAAATAATTAAGACTAACAGGTTTAGTAAAATATAATGAGTATATGGTGTAATATTTCGCAAAATGCTCCTCTCTAGACTTCAAACGAGCTGTGGACACTGATGACTTGCTGAGGTAAATTAAATGCTAAGTGACATTTTATTTCCACGCTGTATTGTTGATGTCTTTCCGCGGTTGAAACACTGATTGAGCAATTACATGAGGCATGAGATGTTCAGTCATGTTTATTCGCGTTAAAACTAGTAGTACAGAGGAAGGAATGACCGCGTTCACTCGCGCTCCGCTCTGCACAAATCTGCGGGGCGTCACGAAGGCGTTTATACAGCGATCTGTCATGCCACATCAAAGACTTTCAAAACGCCATTTATTATTTGAATTTCCGGAGAAAAAAAAAACTGTATTCGTTCGGTTCACATGCGTACCGAACCTAAAGACCCGTACCGAAACGGTTCGGTACGAATACGTGTACCGTTACACCCCTAGTCCTCTATGATGACTACATTCAGCACTCCACCTGGGCGCTATAGATTTCTTGGTATGCCTTTTGGCATAAACTCCGCAAGCGAAGTGTTCCAGCACTCAATGGAACAGCTGTTTTCAGGAGACCCCTGTGCTATCATTGTTGACGACATCATCATCGGAGGCCGTGATGTTGCAGAACATGATGTTAATTTGAAAATAGTGCTGAATCGAGCACGCAAGGTCAAGCTCAAACTAAACCCTGCCAAATGCAAATTCCGTCTGGATCAAGTCAGCTATGTAGGCCATATCTTCACTAGCGAAGGCTTGAAGGCGGATCCTTCAAAAACAAAAGCAATCTCTGAGATGCCAGCTCCCAAGGATGTTCCAGCATTGCAGCACTTACTTGGAATGGCAAATTACCTGGGGAAGTTGATCCCAAACTTTAGTGATGTTGCTGCACCTCTAAGGAAGCTGACACACAAAGAAACTACATGGTGCTGGTACCAGCAGCACCAGCAAGCATTTGATACTGTCAAAGCATGTTTGACCACCCCACCTGTCTTGTCATGCTACGATGTAAAAAAGCCAGTCATATTAACCTATGATGCCTCGTGTTCTGGACTTGGTGCTGCATTTATGCAGGATGGCAGACCAGTTGCTTACGCATCTCGCACACTCACAGACACAGAGACGCGATATGCACAGATTGAAAAGGAGCTGCTTGCTGTCGTATTCACCTGTACCAAATTCAGGGATTATGTGTACGGGAAATCTACAATCGTCGAAACAGACCACCAGCCCCTGGTGACCATTTTAAAGAATCCCATTCACACAGCCCCTGCACGATTACAGAGAATTATGCTCAGGTTACAGTGCTACGACATCACTCTGGTGTACAAGAAGGGTAAGCACATATATCTTGAGGAAACCCTATCTCGAGCTCCAAACACACAAGTTCCTTCAGACGCTGAAAATGACACATTTGAGGTCATGTCCTTCAGTTACATCTCCACTGCTCAATTGGAGGAACTCAGAAAGCAAACAGCGGAGGAGCAGAGGATGAGGTGCTACAGGCTCTAAGCATTGTGATTCAACGAGGTTGGCCAAATAAAGAACATAGCTTGTGGCCCGCTCTGCGTCCATACTTTCCCTACAGAGATGAACTAGCCGTGGAAGACGGAATAGTAATGAAAGGCCACAAAACAGTCATTACTCGCTCGTTACAGAGAGAATACATCGGCATAGTCCACAGAGGACATCCTGGTTTGGACGCTATCAAGCACAGAGCAAGAGCAAGAGAGCAAAACTCCTCACATTCTCAGTCTGTAATAGCACAAAGCCACATCAACAGAAAGAACCACTAAAACCATACCCAGTTCCAGACTTGGCTTGGTCTACTGTGGCAACAGACATGTTCGAGTGGCGTGGCCAAAACTACCTGGTGCTTGTGGACTCATACTCGGGTTGGTATGAGATTGACCTTCTCCGTGACACAGCATCCTCTGCTATGATCAGGAAACTGAAGAGACATTTCTCTGTGCATGGCACACCGCACACACTCTTTTCTGATAACGCCAGACAGTACACAAGTCAACAATTCAGAGACTTTGCCAAACAGTGGGACTTCATCCATGTCACCAGTAGTCCAGAGTTTCCGCAGTCAAACAGCCTGGCAGAAAAGGCTGATGGAGAAACATCAGCATGATGGAGAAATCTCACAGAGATGGCCAAACCCATCATTTCATCACAATTTCACCATCCAGTTAGGCACATCAACCATAACTCCTTCAAAAACAGCCAGAAACCTTCGAGTTTGTGAATGATAATCAGCTGACTTTCTCAGACCACATTGCTAAAACTGTGTCCTGCAGAATTGCTTTATGCAACATTAGGAAGATCAGGCCCTTTCTTTCGGAACATGCTTCACAACTCCTTGTTCAAGCTCTTGTTCTGTGCAGGCTGGACTATTGCAATGCTCTCTTGGCAGGTCTTCCAACCAGTTCTATCAAACCTTTACAATTAATCCAGAATGCGGCAGCAAGATTAATTTTTAATGAGCCGAAAAGAATGCACGTCACACCTCTGTTTATTAATTTGCACTGGCTACCAGTAGCTGCTCGCATAAAATTCAAGGCATTGATGTTTGCCTACAAAACCACCACTGGCTTTACTTCAGACTTATGTGCCTCTAGAAGCTTGCGTTCTGAAAGTGAACGTCGCTTTATTGTTCATCCCAAAGAGGCACAAAGTCACTTTCACTGACTTTTTCATTAAATGCTCCCTCCTGGTGGAATGACCTGTCCAACTCAGTCCGAGCAGCTGAGTCCTTAGCCATCTTCAATAATCGGCTAAAAACACATCTCTTCCATCGTTATTTGACCCTATAACGCTAGCACTCTCTATTCTAATTCTATTCTTTAAAAAAAAAAAACTTGCCCCTTATAGACTTGCACTCCATTTACTAACTGCTTGTTTTATTAAAAGAGCTAACACTAGCTCTATTCTTTTTGTATTCTATCTCTTTGTTTTCTTTTTATTTAGTATACAATTGACAAAAAGCAAAAAAAGGCCTTTTACACTAGATGACTCTATTCTTTTTATATTCAGTTTTTTTTTTTTTTATTATATAATAATAATTAAAAAAAAACTTGCTACCTATACTGTGTTAGGCTAACTGAGACTTGTTATAGCACTTGCATATCATTGCTTTTTTGTTGATTTTGATTGCTTCCATTGTCCTCATTTGTAAGTCGCTTTGGATAAAAGCATCTGCTAAATGACTAAATGTAAATGTAAATGAACAAGTATTTGTAATTTTACTCTTAACTGCTATGCTGTATTGAAAAGCCATAACAGCTTTGGTGTTCCTGGTTTTCTGTGCTGCAGGAGTGGCGTCACGCTCACGGCATGCGCTGTTTGGGCATTCCTAAAACAGCCCACTTCGCCAACGTCACCCAGATTGAGGATGCAGTGTCCCATGAGTACATTCATTCATCACAGATATACAACCCGAATTCCGGAAATGTTGGGACGTTTTTTAAATTTGAATAAAATGAAAACTAAAAGACTTTCAAATCACATGAGCCAATAGTTTATTCACAATAGAACATGGAGAACATAACAAATGTTTAAATTGAGAAATTTTACACTTTTATCCACTAAATGAGCTCATTTCAAATTTGATGCCTGCCACAGGTCTCAAAAACGTTGGCACGGGGGCAACAAAGGGCTGAAAAAGCAAGAAATTTTGAAAAGATTCAGCTGGAAGAACATCTAGCAACTAATTAAGTTAATTGACATAAGGTCTGTAACATGATTAGCTATAAAAGGGATGTCTTATGGCACTTTTGCACTGCATGGTACGGCACGGTATGGCTCGGTACGGTTCACTTTTGGGGGGTTTTCCACTGGGTACAGTACCTGGTACCTGGTACTTTGTTTAGTACCACCTCGGCTGAGGTTCCAAGTGAACCGTACCGTTACCAAAACGTGATGTGTAAACTCTGCTGATCACTGATTGGCCGGAGAGAATCGTCACTACCTGCGTCACTGAACTTGTGACACAAACACAACAGAACCGCTAGATTTAAATCAGCACAGCCAGCGAAGGATCGAACGCAACTGTTTTGAACAAGCGCACCTTTTTTTAACAACCAAAAAATGGCTGTTTCGTTGTCTGTTGAGGAAGTACAGCCGTTGCTCTCGTTGATAGCAGAGGAGCGGATCCAAGCTTGACGAGTCGTACCACGCAGTGGAAAAGCGCCATTAGAGAGGCAGAGTATCTCAGAAGTAAAGATGGGCAGAGGCTCTCCAATCTGTGAAAGAGTGCATAAAAAGATTGTGGAATACTTTAAAAACAATGTTCCTCAACTTCAAATTGCAAAGGCTTAACAAATCTCATCATCTACAGTGCATAACATCATTAAAAGATTCAGAGAAATCTCTGTGCATAAGGGACAAGGCCGAATACCTTTGTTGGATGCCCTTGGTCTTCGGGTCCTCAGACGACACTGCATCACTCATCGGCATGATTCTGTCATTGACATTACTAAATGGGCCCAGGAATACTTCCAGAAACCACTGTTGGTAAACAAAATCCGCCGTGCCATCTGCAGATGCCAACTAAAGCTCTATCGTGCAAAAAGGAAGCCATATGTGAACATGGTCCAGAAGCGCCGTCGTGTCCTGTGGGCCAAGGCTCATTTATGGACTGTTTCAAAGTGGAAAAGTGCTCTGTGGTCAGACGAGTCCAAATTTGAAATTCTTGTTGGAAATCACGGACACCATGTCCTCCGGGCTAAAGAGGGAGACCTTCCAGCGTGTTATTAGTGTTCAGTTCAAAAGCCAGCCAGTGAGCACCTGCCCTTTTTCTTCCTCGAGAGAAAGTGCCCTTTTTTTCTGGGGAGTGTCTTATTTTCTTTTTCTTTTTTTGATAAATGAATATATGTATAGCTATATGTGCGTGTGTGTGTTTCTGTTTGCGCACAGCTTTCCCCGTCAAACTAATAAAAAATCAAAATATCAGGTCAGGTCGGGAAATGTTGAGATTGTCGAGTTCTGACGCCCCTCCGCGCAGGCGCAGCACAGCAGTGTTGCACACATTGAGCGGCACATGCGCATCACAGACAGGCAGAGAGCCGCAGAAGTGAAGCCCTCCCTCCCTTTCCAGTTGTGTTTGTCTTGGTGTGGAGATGAGTGGTGATGAACAAATGATTAAGCTACCTATGCCTCGAATTTACAGCTAATTATCCAAAAGACTAAAGGCAATTATAGTTAATTTGTCTTGCTAACATCCATGACTCATGAGAGCTACATGATTCAGTTCACTGCATGATTCAGTTTATGAAAATGCATTTAGAATGATCACAAAATTCAAGATATGGGGGCAGAAATGCATATATATTTATATAATTTCATATAGTTAATCAGTATCACGCGAAGACTGATGCTTTTTCCACCAAAACGCAGCATAATTACAAATGTGATATTGATTTTATATAGCAGTTCAATAAACAAGAATTTAATATTAAGATACTTACGTTTTAGACACAATATTGACTGTTTTTGCTCTATTTCGCCAACAAATATAATACCAATTTGCATCTCTGAGCAACATGACAGTGTTTTGTTTCTGAATGAATCAACCGTTTAAATGATTCCGGTTCAGTTGCAATGACTCTCTTATTAACAGTGACTTGCTGCCACCTACTGGCGGTTTTAATTTCACATTTAAAGTATCTTTCCATTTTTTTTTTTTATAATTCCAAATATCAGTCAGTATTCAACGTTTTATTTTTAAAATATTAAAACAGTATGAATGCATAACTGCAGGTTAAATACATTCATATCCTGCATTAAACAGTGTGTAAATGCATCTAAATGCCCCTTAATGCAGCTTCTGTGTTTTCTCTGCATTGCAAAGATGGATTTTGTCAATACTGATTTCATTTAAAAGGTAAAAATCTATTTAAACTTATTGGAAAAGATTAATTTCTATCACTGCTGTGAACCTAATTATCGTTACCAATAAAATCCCAGAAAATAGTGAGATATATTTTTTGTCAATATCGCACACTCCTTTTTGATTAGAAAAAAAATTAAAATAAATATGAGAAGTATGAGAAGTTCCACTTGAGCCCCTGCCCCTCAAAATGTCCGTGCACGTCCCTGAAAGCCAGCATCTCTGGCATCTCTGAGGTGCATAAGTGCATACGGTATGGGCAGCTTGCATGCTTTGGAAGGCACTATTAATGCTGAAAGCTATATAAAGGTTTTTGAGCAACATATGCTCCCCTCCAGAAGATGTGTATTTCAGCAGG